TAAATCTTAATCTTAATTTTTTGATTTATTTTTAATTTAAACTATTCACGTATTTTTGTTAAAGTAAAATTGACCAAAAAATAAGTATTTTAGTCATTGAAGTTAATGAAAATATACATAAAATGTCTAAAATACTTTTTTCATTGAGTTTGATGACTAAAATGTTTAGATTTTAATGTAAAAAAATGACAATATCATTTTTTATTCATATGATTAATGAATTTACGATAAAAAAAATAAGTAAAATTAAAATCTTAAAAAAGTCCAATATAATTATGTTAAATTTGTAAAAATTATTATATTTTTTCTTCAAAACATAGGCGACGTTGGTGTAATTTACACTTAATTTAATCATATGTGAACCACCACCGATTAGATGACCATGTCTCATTAATGTGTCAACTGTCCAAAAATTCTTTAAAAATATTTTAAAATAAGAAAAATTAGTGAAATACTCCTCTCTAATTTTGTATAGTAAGAGAGGTTCAAGATATTTTTTTTATTAGCTAAGGCCCCTCAATATTTTCACAAAGACATTTTGTCCAACTCAAAGAAATTTGGCCCAACTCAAAGAAATTTCTCTGAGTTTGGGCCAAATTTCTCTGACTTAGGCAAAATTTTTCTAAGTCGAATTTTCTCTATGAAAAGGTTGAGGGACCTTAACTACTATGAAAATATTATACTATATCATTTAACTACTATTAAAATTTTAACATCAGGGACCTTAAAAAAAATTCAAAATTATATTAAAGATTTAATAATTTAATATTAATTGCAATTCATCATCACAAATAAAAAGAAAATTAACGCCTAAAACAATACCATAGGTGCACAAACACGTTATTATACCAGCAAAAATCTTGTTGGGTGAGTTTTAAAATGTCAATACAATTTTTTCAATTTTTTTATTTTTTTTTTTAAAATACACATGTCATGAAATTATTGATCATTTAATTAATATATTAGACATTATTCTTACCTCATTTAAAACAATTGTCAATTTGATCGATATGATAATATTATAATTGACATTTTATCTTACCGCTTTTAAAACATTCTAAAAAGAAAAAAATACCAAAAAGAAAAAAAATGATTATTTAGTCATTCATCAATATAATAATATTTTAAAATTTTCTTAACTCTTGATCTTTTAAAAAATAAATTTCATTTTTAAATTTGTATGTATCTATATTAAATTTAGCCTGTAAAGATAAGATATCATTTTTGTTTTAAAAAAAAAAATAGTTAGTATAATACAAAAGATAGACAAACTTTAGCATGTCATGTGGTAAATATTAACACCAAGACATCTTTCATTCAAAAAAATCTGAATTTTATATTTAAATTTAGCCCACAATTTTTTTTATTATTATCTAAGTGACTTTAAAATTTTAAAATTTTAAATTTCTCAAAATTTTAAATTTTTTAAAATTAAGAAATATACGTGTTACAAAACTATTGGCCTATCTAACCCTATCTAATTTTAAAAAATTTAAAACTTTCACATAGAAAATTTAAAATAAAATCTTCATATTTAAGTCAAATCACATTTGAATTAAAAAAAATTAAATAAAAAGTTTGAAATGAAATTTTAATTATATATTGAAAATCTTTAAAAAGAAAATTAGTTGCAAATAAATTTTTGATAATCAATAGTGATTGTTGTGACGCATTGCATAACCACATATGCCATATGGAGCCCAATAATGATGTAACAAAATGACTAGGGTCCCAAAATTTGGGACCTTGAATTTACCCAGAAATGAGTATGTATGATGAAAAATTGAATTAATAAAGTGTGAGATTTACATATGAAATGAATCTAAGCCATTGATGTAAAAGTGTAGATAATTTTTGGATTTGTATCTCTGGATTCATAGCATTACTAACAACGTAATTAGTGTAATGTAAATGTCATATCAAGGGATGCGATGAAATATAATTTCCATAATTATAAGGAGTAATTCATATTTTAAGTAAGTGATAAGGGGTGTTTTCATAAGATATCCTGATTGAAAATAATATTCAATGGTAGGAGATCACTCATGGTTGGTTATTTTAAATATGGGTAACTTTCATTGACTTGTCTTGAAATTTTAAAAAAAATACAAAAAATTTCATTTTTTTTTTATATAATTACATTGATAGCTTAATGAGATTAAACTAATATAGATAATATGAAGTCACACCGATACGTAATATAAAATGTATATTTTAATGTAAAAGAGATGATAATATCAATTTTTATTATACGACTAAATAAATTTCTATTGAAAAAATGTAATTTAAAATTTTAAGGAAACCTAGTGTAATTATGTTAAGTTATGGAGTTTACTGTATTTTTATCAAATTTCAGGAAAGGTTGGTGTAATTTACCTTTTAAATGAAGTTATATTCTACATCTCCCTTACCTAGAATTATTTGTTCAAAAAATAATATTTTTTATAGCAAACCACAAAATAATTTTTTTTATAATTTGATAGTTTGGGAATTGCCTATTTTGGTGATTTTTTGATTTTTTTTTTTATAAAAAGATATGTAAAAAAATAAATAGAATAATTTGATAACTTATAATAATTTTTGATTAAAATAATCTATTGACAAATGAGGCTTCAAATTTTATTTATTTATTTATTTATTTATTAATGAAATGGAGAAGGGAGGAGGGCTGGGAAGGATAAGATGGGAAAAGATATATAAATAAATAAATAAATAAAAAGAGGGGAATGAGATGAAATGATTAATGTTAGAGAAGATTAGATAATAATTTAAGTAGTGATTGTGGGTTTGTGTTGGTTGGAGAAAGAGGGTGTGGGCCACCTCCTCTTTTTGGTCTTCTTTTCTTTTGGATATCCAAAAAAATAAAAAAAGGGGAATGAAAAATCAATGATGAATTAGCACACAAGGGAGAGACCCTACCAAAATTATTTCCATATGAATATGAGAGAGATGAAAAATTATCATATAAGGCTTCGTTTGGAAAGTGGGTTGGTTTTTTAGTTTTTTGACTATTTTAGCCTGAGTTAAAAAGTTTGGTTTGGGAAGGATTTTTTGACTTTTTGACTTTTTTTGTGAGAAAAGAGTGTAATGATTATGAGTTAGATGTGGTATTTTGTTTGTTGTGACTAAAATAGTCTATTTTATCTTTTGTGACTATTTTAGCCAAAAAAATCCAAAAAGCCTCTTTCCAAACAGAGGCTAAGTCTGTTCCATATCTTAAGTGATATGATTTTGTTATTCTATTAATTACATATTTATTATTTTTTCTTCTTTTATATATTATATAATACAATTAATAGAATTGAAAGGATACACATCCTAATTAAAAAAAAAGGATAATTTCGAGAGAGAGAGAGAGAGAGAGAGAGAGTTGGGCCAGTGTGATGGACCTACATTTAAGTTTGTTAGAAATTGAAGCTCTCCTTTGCTCTCTCTCTCTCTCTATCTCGTATGGTATGAGTGTGGTGTAGAATAGAGTGGGCCAAGCCTGTTTAGAAGTTAATGAGTCTCACCCAAAAGCCCAGCCTGTAAGCAGCTCACTCACACCCGACGATGAATACGATTGAGAGAGAAGGGAAAGACAATAATAAACATCAAAGCTGTTATCAACTAATCGATTTCATTTTATAAACAAGTCTTCCACACAAGAATATGATAATAATAATAATACAATATACTTCTCACAAATTTTAAGCAATTTTTATTATTTAATTTTAAGAACTCTTTTTAACCATTTTACTTATTTTTCATCATATTTTTTATAGTATATAATATTACAGAACACTCGTTAGCATTTACTGCATCTATTGACTATTTGATATAATTTATGACAAGTGATTATGACTTTTATTATTTCTAAGACATTATGTTAAATATTTAGTGCAACTTCTTCCAACAATTTGCTATTAAAAAAAACCAAATTTACTCTGGTAGAAAAAAACAGTTAGATTTTTATTATGTAACAAAAAATAATTTGTCAAATTTGACACAAAATTTGATTTTACCATTTTTTGACAATAAATTTGACTCACCATTGAAAGAGGTTTTTTGTTTTTTGTGAATTCTAATCATTTTACAACTGTGGCAGGCCTTTTGATTGACCATTAGAAACTACTCTCACTACCTACAGTTCAAACATAAAAATGGCTTAAATAAACTTTAACTGGAAGTTTTTTTTTACCATGATTGCTTGGGCTTGGTGGCTTTTAGGGGATTTATTTATGTTCAAATTTTAGAAATTTGTGTGAAATGTTTGGGTGAGCTTCAACTTGTTTGGCTCAATTAGGCTCAACTAAAAGTTATTTCTGGTATATTTTTTTAAAAAAATTTGTATGAGGCTGGTGAGAAAAAGAAGTTAAAAACTGCAATTACTGAGAGCTCTAATGGTTTAAATATGGTAGAGCAGAAGAACTTGCATCTCTTGCTCATTAGTCTGCATAGTCCAACTAAATAAATTTTCATAGAAGAAGAAAATGAATTGTGACGACCCTTTAGCTACAACAAACATTCATGTAATAGAATACCAAATTTGAAAAGTTTTCTGGATTAAATTTTTTGAAAATTGAGTTTTTTGATTTTCGTATTTTTTTGTTTTTAGTGAATATTTTTAAATTTTAAACATTTTTTTCACTTTTTTAGATACACCTTACTTAGATGTGTCTAAAAAGTAAAAAAATTGTGAAAAAATATTTTAAAAAATTAAGAAATACATAAAAATACAAAAAATGTACTAAATTCTTGTATTTTTTTATATATTTGGTATTTAGTGAATTTTTAAAAGATTTTTTTTATAATTTTTTTTATTTTTTAAGTGTCTTTATGTTAGGTGTGTCTAAAAAGTAAAAAATTTACATAAAATATTAAAAAAATTCAGTAAAAACAAAAAAACACGAAAAATAAGAGTGTAAAATTTTCTGAAAACTATTTTTAAAAAATGGGAACGAAGCAAAATATCCACTCCACACACACACTCAGACAAAGGCGATTGAATAATTGTAGCATAATGAACCAAGACTATTATAATGCATGCATGATTGATAAAATTTCCTTATCTAATCTAATTTCCATTAACTTAAAAAAGGACAGATCATGTGGTCAAGGCACACGTGAATAGATAGATACAATCAATTTTGACCCAAAACAAAAGGGTCCACAAATTATGGAGTACATGCACGTGTGCAGCAGGGGTATCAAACACCATGAATGCCTATGCCTCCCTCCTCCTGCATATGAATGTGTTTTCGAACTTCAATTATTTGGTTTCAGAAAATACGGAAAACCAAAAAATGTAAAACAAAAACAACACCAAATAAAAGTAAAACCCTTGCCCAACAGCATCCACCAGAAAGGCAATGAAAAAGTGGAAAACAGAGAAAGCTTGAAATAAATTACTATAAAAGATGAACAAGACATATGACAGGAATTTATGGGTAACTTGAACCTCTTCCTTCCAAGTGTCATCCCTTCAATACACTCAAGACCAAGAGATGACCTATCAGCAAAAAATATTCATAAATATAAATAAATAAATAAATAAAAATTGGAAAAAAGAATAGAAAATAACTTTTCCTTTAAGATGTAATGAATCTGACCTTTTAGACATAAAAGGAGTCTCAAATCAGCTTAACACCAGATGCAGAACACTATTACAAATATTTCTACATTCCCAGTAGATACATACCTTAGACCTTCCCATTAAGCTCGGTGTATTCAGAAAATCCATCTTGCTTTTCAGATTTATCGTTTAGCAAAGAAGGGCTCCAACGCTCGAACCCAGGTTTAGAAGAGGCGTTACCATACCAAATCATCCCCACTATTGCAATTATCATGCCTAAAACTACTTGTAGATTAAGGCCCTCTTTCCCGAAGAAAGTGAAACCCAATATCAGGACAAGAACAGTCTTCATATGGCCAATCACTTGGAAGGACACTGCTGTAAATCTGCTGATGCAGATGAATTGGCTCAGATTGGTCCCTATTGCGATGGTGCAAGATAGGAGTATGAACAACTGCATACAACATAGAATTCCATAAATATTGACTGTTTGGGAATTTCTTATATTTGGTGGTATTATCCCTCTATCACTCAAGTTTTTAGAAATGACATATAAATGGATGGCCCCACAAATTATCTCGTAGAACATGACATAGATGTTATACAGATTGTTAATGTACACTAAACCTAACCCACTAACCTAACCCACACAGCAAAGAAAAACTACCAATATGCACAGACGCACATTTGAGAATACCATTTTGCATTTGTACTTGAGACTACCATAATGGATTCCAAGGCCTAATGAAAGATGAATGGCACATGTTAATTAGTGGAGGTCCTATCAACAAATCAGCCTACAAGGTCTACTCGACTCCTTCAATTGTAAGATTTTAAAGTATGTCCACAATGTAAAGATGAATGGCTTTTGGGCCTTTTTTTATAAACCTTGAGCAGGGTAAAGTTATAAAAAGGGGTACTTTCAGACAACTTGAAATGGTGAAGGCCCAATGAGTGACATGGAATAATAGTCTAATAGGCAACTAAATAATCTGCTTTAGCTGTTTTAAACTTCTTGTGAAAAAACAAAGAAAAACAAAAAGACCATCAGCATAAGATAAACCAAACCAAGCCTTAAATCCCATCAAATTTATTTGGCTACATGAATCCTTCTTCTCCATTTGACTCTATCAAAAGCCACCAGCATAAAATATTTTCTGCAAATTATATATTGCCTGATACAAACTAAATATGTAATTAAACTGAACCAGATCATATATTGCACCACACTTATAATCACGGGCAGGCATGACTGGAATCCTATTATCTGAAAATGTATTGTAACATGATATACAAGAACATACATAATCTGAAACACAATATAATGGAATGAAAAGTGGTGATGGAATTTGGAATGCATGTGATCGATCCTACATATGCAAGCTCAAAATTCCCATATTATGGACAAAAGTGGATACAATTTGCCTCACTATGTAAACCTTGACTTTGTACAATCCTCATACTTACCGCAGATGCTAAAGTATAGGGATAGGTGTCAACCCTTTTATTTGTCAACCAATAGTCCAGGACTGGTCCCAATAACAGCAGAGATGCAGCTTGTGCTGGTGCAGTATGCCCTAATAGGTTGAAAGATCCTAGCGAATACTTCTTTTGAAGAAAATGCACATACTGCACGCAGAGTAATTAACCAAAAAACCAAGGCAGGCCAGTCAATAAATGAGAGAGCCAGATGATAATCTGTAACTTCACAAACAGATATATCAGAGAGAAATACTTAGCAGTGTTGTTACAAGAAAACAATAACCATTCTTAGGTTATTTTCCAGTCTATACAACCAAAAAAAAAAAAAGAAATACACTTATTAGGCAATAGGGAAGGTAGGATGACTAGTAAAGAAAATTAAACTAGCAGAATAAACCAAATTATAAGCTTACAAAACAAATTTGTAATATTGCCCCCAAACCACCAGCTTGAACATACAAAATGGTCTTTAACTGCCCCAATAAGACCATAATGCTTCCCATTGTCTCTGAAAGTAAGATCACAAATCCAGTGAAAGATTACTTACATACTGCTGCATAGAAGTGCTCCAAACTGCCACAAAGGCAGCAATAAAACCCTTGGCATTGACACTCACATCAGTAACAGTACAGACAGCAACACCCAGAAGAACTAATGCTATGCTAAGCTTCGTGTCTCTTGAGTATCGCATCTTGTCCAAGAAAACTTCCAAGAAACAAGAGACAGGGATCATACTCAGCTTCGCTATCTGGCAGTACATCAAAAACAAACAACGAAGTGTAACTATGGATATATTATGACAGAAAAGAACACAACTCCAGTAGTCCTTCATCACTAACCTGATAAAATCCCACAGAATTCCACATTAAACTCACATTCATTCCAACAATAGAGAAGTTTGAAAATACAACAAATATCAGCAGCTCAGATACTGGTAGATGAGAAGCCTGGATATATCCCAACCGCTTAAGAACAACAGTCATCAAGGAGGTTGTGGCAAAATGTAGACCAGTCAACGTTGTAGCTGCAGGATAACAAAAATAAAAGAATACAATGTGGTGATATGTTATTTCCATAGAAGTATCGTTATTGTTCAAGCTTCAAACACAATAGGATTCACCATCTAATTCAACAGCAAAGTAGATAAGAATGAATAAGTACCCGATGCATGTCTAAATTAAAATTGAATATGAATATGATTAAATAATTATGTGGAACAATGGAATTGTATGTGTGCCAACATTAATTAATGTACTTCTATAGAAAAATGAATAGAATTTGGAAGTCAAGACATTCACAAAATGACAATAGCCTTTCTAGGTGTTAGGACACTGTTAAAATATATTCTGACAATCAGAAAGGACTAAAATGCATCCCAGTTACTCCTTCAAAATTAATAGTCTCCTGCTAAACCTGTCACAGTATGGGTGAGACGGACCAGTTTATCCTAATATCAGCTCTAATTGCCATTCCTAGTTTTTCCTAGCCACATTCAAAGAGTAGAAACTGTTAATTTAGTGGAGGGGTTTAGTATCCTAAGCGTAGAACAGCCCATTAGTTTGGTGCTGATGCTATTTCTCGCATAATTTGGTTTTGATGTCCAAGAATTTATTAGTCTTCGACATAAAATTATTCTATCATCAAGAAGGCAACAGTGGCTGCAGCGGAGATCAGAAAAGCAGAAGGGAGCAGTATCAAAGCAAGCAAGATTGAACCACAAGTCATGTCAAACATAGTGATTACATGATTCTACTCGCATGTAGGACATCAAAAACCAAAGCCCACACTAAATAAAATGAACATGAGAATAATATTAAGCTTAATCTTCTTTCCCTTTTCTCACAGACATGATTACAAAAAGACAAACCTCTAAATACAAAAAATGACTAGTTGGAACACCAGATGAAGACATAACACATGGAAGTAATAAGTTAAGCAAAAGAATGGAAGGAAATCAAAAAAAAATTCCAGATAGGATGGTCCAAAGGAACTTACCAAAGCTGTAACCATAAGTAGCCATTAAGGCTTTGTTGACAATAATAATTCCAACAGAAGTGACGACATTGAACATCCATGCAGCAACATCAACAATTGCTTTCCGATTTCCTTTGCTAGCTGGAGACATCGTCATCTACTGTTTCCAATGTATCACCAGAAACTTTACTGTTCAGTCTTAAGCAAAAGAAATATATGTTGGGATATCAAAGATGAATAGTTTTCTATGTTTTACACAAACAAAATTTCTAGAGATAACCAAGATTAGAATTGTTGGAAGGCTTGATATGTATTGTTGGGCCTCTTTCCTAACAGCTTAAGCTTTTGGAATTAGTGGATATGTAACATTGTATCATAGCTCAGTTTCGGGGACATCTTGTGTTCAAGTCCCTCTGTCTAGATTTTTGTTCCCTGTTTACATTTTGTTTCTCTTTAAGTTTGGATGATTGCAACTCCATGTGAAAGACAGAGTTGCATGTGAACAGGGTATTGGAGAGTTTGATATGCATTGTTGGGGTTCTTTCCTAACAGCTTAAACTTTTTGGACTGGTGCTTAATTAAGAAGAACACAGTAAAATCTTCATTTATTCATACAGAAAAGAAAGACAAACTAACAGAAATTATTATGCTGATAGGAAAACAAATTTCAGCAAGATTACTAGAATAACTTAAAAACAATGAAGGTGATGAAACTAAAAGTGCAGAAACCTGTCCCAATCATTTACAAGCAAAAAGCGTTTCAAGATATCACAAAAGAAAGTAAATTCAGTAAGAAGCAAAAGTAGTCATTATCATTAAGCAAGTTGAACTTATAACTCATAACCTATGCTTAACACATACTAAAGTAGAAAAGCATCTCAAAGGAAACAATATATAGATTTTGTTCAAAGTGATTATGCCTCACCTCAAAGGGTGTAAATGACTAGTCCCACTCTTTCACCTTCAGTTATCCCTTGAGCACCATTCACCTAATAATCCAACTGTCCAAAATGAGCATCCCCATAATAGCAGTACTAAACCTCACAAACTAACTAGCTCCTTCACAAACCTCACAATCCAACTTTCCATGGAATATTTTTTTTCATCAGGAACAACTCAAGCCCCAAAACAACAGTCCATATGATCTATACCTCACAAGGTACAAAAGTAGTCAATTTTAACAATGGCCCCATAACTTTTTCCAAAATTATTCTGATTTCATTCAAGCTGTAATAAATGGCCCAAAACTCTTTCTGCCAATCAATCACTTCAATGTTTGTAACATAATCAGATCAGAATAATAAAACTCTTCACATACAACACTTGGAGTTACTAACATTTGGGAAAGATAAATTGAATTATTCAAATTGTATATAAGAGGGTAAATAGGACTGGAAGATAATGAAATATAACTCTCCAAACAGGCCACTCTCTTGGGATATTTGTTTCAATCCACTAGTAGTGGTAAAATAGATATAAGAGGGTAAATAGGACTGGAAGATAATGAAAGAGAACTCCCCAAACAGGCCACTCTCATGGGCTATTTGACTCAATCCACAGTAGTGGTAAAATACACATCCTTACAGAATAAAAATACAATAATTGGCATCAAATAACCTTACTGTTATTTTTCTTCATGCTAGAATGTCATCATTACAAAATCATAATAAAATGCTACAGGATCATGTATTTGACCTGAAATAATACAAGGCTTTCTTCGATTGAACTCTGTTATTTTATTACTATTCAAGATTTTTGTAAATATTTTGTAATTAAAAGTAAAAATCATGATCCCCAATGTAACTTGTGAATATGACATATCATACAAAATACCTACTTTAAACAAATGCCATCCACTAGAGAAATCAAAGTTGTTGCTTAGGCTCAATTAAAAAGCTCAACAAATTAGTAAGAAAAACAAGAAGCTACTTCTACATCTCCCAGTTGTTCAAGAGAAACTCTAATACAGATCTGCAATGATTTTCCTCATCATGTGTAATTATCCAGCACTGCTTTTTTTTTTTTTTGGTTTTGTTGTTGTTGACTTCACCATTCTATTCATGTTTCTTAGTTGAAAAGATCATTAACATGCAATCTTGTCAAATCATGACACACACAGTATCAATGTATCATTGTATCACTTTTATGTGTCACATATCCTATCATGTATTGTAACTTGTAAGATACATTAACATATATGTATATTAAAAAAGTATGTTCATATAAGATATAATTCTATTGATAAATATTAAACTCAAGTACAAAATCACATGGCTAATGACATGAAATTATCTCCAAGAAATTTATATATTGGTCAAAGATGTAATATAAAAACTCAAGTATCCAACTCATAAAAACTTCAAAAAAAAAAAAAAATTTGAAAATTTGAAAATTTATATAACAGAAGACTTACATTTCACTGGAAATATATAAAATACAACAAAAGGTTTTGTTTTTCCAATCGGGCCTGACTATTTTGTTCCAAGGTCTGACTTCGTTCCCGATTTGCAACCAAAACATTCTTTAGGAATTATTTGAATATGAATAGTCCCGTGCACATACGGTTTGTGGTCATAGTTCAAACAAGACTTTTGGCTCAAATATCGGGTCTAAACCCAAATTCTAAACCCAAATTCAACAAACTGTGTGTAAACTCTTTGCTTCTTTCACCCAAATTAGATCCATGATAGTAGTTCAATTTCTTGCAGCAAAGGAAATATGGGGTTAATTTTTCTTACAAGTTCATCTGAATTTGGGTCTCCATTCTATGGAGTCTTCTAAGGAAGCAGTTCTTGTTCAAAGAGTTAACCATGGCCCATGTCAATTAAAATTGGAAAGAAAAAATAAATAAAATCTATCAAAAGAGCCAAAGGTCAAGGAGAAGGTAGAGATTAATTAATTGCAAGATACACATTGAATCGCAATACAGTATGAAATCTTACAATATGAAATCAATGATAAGTATATTTTTTTCATAAAGATTGTGTACGATTCTGACAACACCATTGAAATGAATCAGGTTTTAGTTATAAACTTTTCGTTGTTGCTTCCCCATTCTATTCATGATGTTTTTGCTTTGGTTCAGAAATGCAAAAAGAAAACAGATTTTATAAAGAAATTAGCTTGGGTGACATGACTGTCACACTGCACTTTCACAACCATGATCCCAAAGCAGGTAGTTGTTACAATTGAATAGAAACAGTTGATCTTGCATCAATTCAAAAGTTTTCTCATATATACTTAAGCTCTAAACTTGCAAAAAAAAACCTAATGATAAATTCAAATCCTAGAACAATGAAGTCATGAAAACAGCAATTGACACCTATATGAATACATACAGTAACAATATGAAACAAAATTCTTCATTTCTGAAGCAGATCCATCACTCAGAACAACATCCAACTCAAAATTCAGTAAAACAAGCAAGAATTAGGAGCTTACAATGATTATTAGGAGCAGAGAGAAGAGGGTTGAGTTCCGGGGCAGAGATGGTCCAATGCTGAGAAGGTTGCAGATACATGTGCAGTAGATATATGCTGCATGTGTATGGAACGTGAAGGGGACTTCATTTTCGCCATTCAGAGAGAGAGAGAGAGAGAGAGAGAGACGTAGATTGAAAGGGTCGAGAGAGCTGCGTGTAATGTTCATGTATGTGTTGAAATGTGCGCATTCCATTCGGCGTGATATATGCCATATGGAGAGAGACGGAGAGAGAGAGAGAGAGAGAGAGAGAGATAGGCGAAATTACATTTGGGAAAGAAAAATGCGTTGAGGCTAAAAGTTTTTTTTTATTTTTTTATTAAAGAGTTGTTTGGAATGTTTTAAGTGTGCTTTTCGAATTTTTAGACTAAAAAATAGGGGAAAAAATATGATTATTTGAGATAATTTTTTAATTTTTTATAAAAAAATATGTATTAAAATATTGTATAAAATATTAAAATTACCATTTTACCCCTACTATAATGAATTGCCTACTGACTTGGATTGTCCAGGAAGCCCGACGGTGGGCAAGAAACAAGTATAGGAGCAGATTGCTTATAGTCCAAGATCGGATTGGACAGTGTTGTTCGGCCCGTAGAGGCCCATCATGGCTCCCGTTTTGATAATCGGAACCATTGAATGTGTAAAACTCGTCGAGTATTAAATATCTGTAAAAAATCACGTTGATCAGATATCAATAGCTATCTGATCAAAACGGTTTTGTATGAAAAAAATGACGGTGAAAAATAAACGGCTAACAAAATATGATTTGATCACATAGCTATCCATATCTGATCAACGTGATTTTTTACAAACATATAGTACTCAACTAGTTCTGCATATTGAATTATTCGGATTATCGAAATGAAACCCGTGGTGGGTCCCCACGGACCCAACAGTACCCTCTAACTTAATGAATATATATATCTAATTTGTAATTTGTACCATCACAATGCATCTGTGTAATTTTTTTTGTCACTTCAGTACCATCACCTGTGTAAAGTTGGATTGTACTTTTTTTGTGTAAATTAATTTTTTTTATATTTTTAATTTGTGAATAGTGATAATTTTTTTGCTTTTTTAGTAACTTTTTTACTTTTTGCCTTGTTTATAACATGGTAAAGCTTAAAATTTGGTTTTCTAGGTTAAAATTCAAAAAAAAAAAAAAGGCTAAAATAATCAATAAGATAAAATGTCATACCAAACACATAATCATTTCACTTTTTCTTTCACAAACATCATATTCAACTACAAAAAAATCTAACAATCTTCTTAAACACAAAAATTTTAATCTACTAAAATAGTCAAAAATTAAGATAGCTTACTAAAATAGCTAACTTTCCAAACAAAATCTAAATGTTACATGAGTGTGAGACTTATATTTATATGAGATATTTGGTAAAATTTTCAAAATTTTTAGCACAATAATGCAAGTGCATATCAAATTGGTAAGTTACCTCACTAAATGGTATAAATTTTTACAAATATATGTAAGTGAATATATAAAAATTTGAGAAATACAATTTGCATATATTTGTAACAACAATGCTAGGTAGCTCAAAATTTTGTGGCTCAAATGGCTCAAATCACTCAAAACGACGTCGTTTTGAGTATAAATGAGTGTAAAACGACTTCGTTTTGACAGATTTGAACCATTTGAGCCACAAAATTTTGAGCTACCAAACATTTTCCTATTTGTAAACACTTGCGTGATTTTGTGAGATAAATTATAAATATTTGTGAGAATTTACGTAAAGACATATGGTATGCACCTTATGCACCCAAACACTTCCTAATTGCAATTAGATGAATAGTAGTAAAATAATGGGGACTTACTTGTAGGTCCTAATAGGTGAATTTATTATATAATAACTCCTATGATAATTTATGATTTTTTTTTATCAAATATTATTAAAAAATGTTATTAATTGTTAATTTTTAGCGATAAAATGTCACTAATTATAAGTTTTAGCAACAGTTTAAAAAAATCGTCACAAAAAAGTCACTAATTTTCAACTTTTAGTTACAATTTGAAAAATTTGTCACAGAAAAATATCACTAATTGTAAGTTTTAGCGACAATTTATAAAAATCGTTACCAAAAAAAAAAAAAGGACTTTCGTTTGGCAAGATGGTTTGTGGCTAAAATAGTCATAAAAGACAAAATAGGCTATTTAACCATAACAAATAAAATATCACATCTAACCTATAATCATTACACTTTTATCTCACAAAAAAAATAAAAAAGCCAAAAAGCTAAAAAGTCTTTCCCAAACCAAGCTTTTTAGCCCAGGCTAAAATAGACAAAAAAGCCAAAAAGCCAACCCACCTCCCAAACCAACCCTAATTATGACGTTTTAGTTACATATGTAAAAAATTGTTATAAAAATTTATTTTTAGCAACGATTTTACCAAGGTCACATTTAGAAACAGGCTATTTTAAGCTTCGTTTGGTATTTGATTTTTGGCTAAAAAAGCATAAAAAGTCAAAATTGATTACATAAGCCAATAAGATAAAATATCACAACCAAACCATAATCATTACATTTTTTCTCTCACAAAAATCAAAAAAACAAACCAAACAAGACTAAAAAAGTCCGGCTAAAAAAATCTCAACACAAAAAAGTCAACTAAAAAAGCCAATACCAAATGAATTAGTAACTTTTTGGCTAAAATATGAAGTAAGAAAAACTAGTATATTTTGAATGACTTTTTAATTTTTTATGAAAAGATGTGCAAAAAATAATAAAAAAATGTGAATCTTTGACTTTTAGGTATATGTTATAGGTTTTTTGGTTTTTTTTAATATTTTTTTGGCTTTTAGGCTAACATACTCGCATGCCAAGCAAGGCCTAACTTTATTTTCAATAGGACTTGATGAGAATTAAGTCAAACTATTAAGATCTATTGATAAAGTTTATCCTAAAATAATTACATTATGATTGAGAACTTTTTTGGTACAAGATTGACACAAAGAGGGTTATAAAGTACAGCAATGCTGAGTTTTTTTTTTTTTTTTTTTTTGAATATTTCAAAAAAATTAAACTATTTAAGAAAATATTTAAATTTTAAATAAAATTAACTAATTTTTTAAAATTACAAATTTAAAATATTATTTTAAGTTGCGATTTTATATTGACATAACCCACGTCTATATGTCTATACACTAGTGTGTCATGCCAATATGAAATCGCATTCTCATTATAAAATTATATTTTGAATATGCAATTTAATGATGAAGTCGCATTTTGAATTTGTATTTTTAAAAAAGTCAGTTAGTTTGATAAATAGTTTGATTTCTTAGAATATTAAACGAAAATTTGGGAAATGCTACTAATTTTCAAAAATAAATTTTAAAATTTGTATTTGTATTTTTTTATTTGGGTAAATTACAATACGTATGGTCTCTTGTGATTTTCAAAATCATAAATTCCTCCTTGGCATGATTTTTTATTTAACAGAATTAGCAGAAAAAAAATTCTAACAGCTCCTACACAACAATAAAATTACCTAAATTGTTAATCAAAATATATTTTTGACATCAATAAAAATTGTTAATTGACTTGATAATTTATTAATAAAAAAAGTCATTTGTTATGTTATTAAAAACTTGAAGGGCAGGATGTAATTTTTAAAACTATATGGGACAATTCACATTTTAAACAAATCTCATGGGGTGTATTTATAATTTATCCTTTTTATTTTTAGTAATTTTTTTAATATTTTAATCAATTTTTATTTTATATTTTAGATACACTTAATTTAAATATATTTAAAAAATAAAATATTTGTGAAGAAATCATCAATAAAAATGTGTGTGACTGTAATCTTATTCATAAAAGTCATACATTTTGTGATAAAAATTATACTTTTTGTATTAAGTGCATATCATATGTATCTTTTTTTGGATGCGCATGGCAGTCTTTCTTTTCCTTCAATTGGATAGCGGAAATATAATCTTATTTTTATGAAACATTTCATTTACAATATAATTATTTTAAAATTATCTCGCGTATTTGTAATTTTTCTAATTACAAATCAATGGTACCTTTCCAAAATAATTATAGAATAATAAAAAATATTTTCTAATTATAAAAATTTGTCAAATTTATGACTGATCTGATTTTTTTTTCCTTCAAATTTGTAATTATTAAATTGTTATTTCTTCCATGGTATTATTATGTGTATCATATCAGTTTTCAATTAATTAATTAATTAAAGAATAGAAAGTGAAGTTTTGATAATGGCATAGATATTAAGAGACGACGAGGGTCGTTTTCTTTCCCTTTTTGAGGGTCGTGTCGTAATGAATAAATGTGACCAAATTCATTCGAATCCATTGTATGTAATGTATGGATTCTGTTCTATTGTTGTTGTTATATTATGGGTGGAGATGATTAATAGGTACCCACGATCTCCCTTGAGGTTCCTAATCACCTCTCAACCCTAATAGATTGCTATATTTAGGTGCCACTTGGTATCATGAATATTTTTTATTTTGAGTCTTCAAAAAACAATTTATGGCATATTTGGTAATCATTCTATTTTCAATTTTCTATTTATATTTATAAAAATTTTAAAAATTGTCATATAAATTTGTTTGGTAAGTTTTTTTAATTTATAAACAAGTCTCTCAAATTAAAAATTAAGCTAGAATATATAAACTGAAACAATGTAATTACAATGTGTTTGGTAACGTTTACGTTTTCAGTTTATATTTACAAAAATTTTATAAACTGATTTTTGTTTATTTTTAGAAAAATATAACCTACAAACGCGTTTGGTAATTGACAAAATATTTTAAAAAATTTAAAAATATAAAAAAGAGTGAGAAATGGCAAGTGGCGGTGGAAGACGGTGGTGGAAAGTGGTGACGGTGGGTGGCGGTGAAGTGGGTGGTGGGTAGCTGGTGGTGGTGGGTGTTGACGCGTGGGTGGTGGTGGTGGTGGTGGTGGGTGGGTGGGTGACGGTGGCTGGTGGTGGGTGGTAGCGAGTGGGTGTGGGTGGTAGCGAGTGGGTGTGGTGGTGTGGTGGCCGGTAGGTGCGTGCGGTGGCGGGTGGCGGTGACTGGGTGGTAGTGGTGGCGGGTACTGGGTGGTGGGTGGTGATGTTGGGTGGGTGGTGATGGTGGCGGGTAGTAACGAGTGGGTGGTGGTGGTGGCGGCGGTGGCGGTGGTGGTGGTAGATGGGTGGCAGATGGCCGATGGTGGTGGGTAGTAGCGGGTAGGTGGCGGGTGGTGGTGGTGGTGG